TGCATATGTATTCCTCTTATTATCAATATCAATAATAATCAATTTGTTGTGTGAAATATGTTGTTTATGAACTAATTACAAAACAAGAATGTGTCCATAGTACATGGATACCCCACCCGCACTATCATTTTCTATGTTCAGTAGACTGTTTGGGTCAAAACTCTAATTTGGCATTAAAATTAGAAAGACCATATCACAGGGAACATGTGTTCTAAGTTTCAAGTTGATTGGACTTCAACTTCATCAAAAACTACCTTGACCAAAAACGTTAACAAAAAACCTTTAATCTGAAGCGGGACAGACGGACGAACGAACGGACGCACAGACCGAAAAAACATAATGCCCCTAAGTGAGGGGCATAAAAAATGAAAATTTCAAAATCTTGGTTATTTCCAGTTTGTATTTTGAAAACGTAAACAGGGAATGTGTCAAAGAGAAAACAAGGCCACTATAATGGGTCTTTAACATAGCAAGTTAATCCGGCACACGGAGGTAGGCTTCAGCTGACCCCTTAATTATTTTGTACACTAGTTCAGCGAAATGGACACCACCTTAAAGGCCTTGAGTCGGTTTCACAAAAAAACTTACGACTAAGATTGATCGTAAGTCATGGACAATTCAGTATACTTACAATTAATCTTAATCGTAAGTTTTTTTGTGAAATCGACTCCTGAACTCCAATACATACAAATGAACCAAAATTATCAACAACAAAAAAACACACACAAGACAAACAAAGGCTAGATCTTGAGGTTCCTGACTTGGGATAAGTGCAATAATGTGGCTGGGGTAAAACATATTGTGTGAGAACTCAACCCTCCCCTAGTTTCTCTAGACAATGTAGAATAAATAAACACACAGTAAAACTCAGTTTTAAAGAAGTGCATTTTGTGGAAGTTTGAAATTTTTATCTTATGTTTCTGTTATGTATTTATAGTAATTATACGTGTAGGTATAATAAACAAAAAAAATGATTGTGTTCAAAAATAACTGTAAATCAGTTTGGTTACTGACTTTGATTTTGTCATGTTAATTGCTGGAAGAGTTATTTTTCTAGTGTCCTTGCATCGTCATTGATTGTAGTCCTTTTTTTGTTTATTTTTTCATTAGCTACTTTTTCAACATTTGAATTGTATAAAGTCACAGTTAAACACAGACTAATTTTATTTAGCAAGCTCTATCAATATCCAAGTTTAATTTCAGATATATAAGCTTTTTAAGTTTGATAACATTTACTAGTTCACTGAATTAGCATGAAATATAGATCTGATATTGTTTACTTTAGGGCAATTTCAAGGGAAGCTTTGTCAATATGATTATAAGAGCTTGAATTTAAATAGTAATCGTACCAAAGTGGTCCAATTTTGGATGTTGAAAATGAGATAAGCACTGTTGAATGAATTGATGGGACCACTTCCTGGAGGAAGTATTAATAGTAACAGCACATTATGTGTGTACCCAGTAAGGTAAAACCTGTACATGGTGGTCTGAAACATCAACCAAATGATATAAAGAAAAGCATTACAAAGTTCCTTCTTTAAGATATCTCATTGAATTCATACACAGATGATGCATGATCATTTTTTTACAGTTCTTAGGCTAAAGCTGATTGCATTTTATTAAATTAATTCAATGAGATATCTTAAAGAAGGAACTTTGTAATGCTTTTCTTTATATATATATATATATCTTTGACCATAATATTTTCATACAGCAGACAACCCATGTTAGTTCTGTGTATGCTTTAGCCTAAGAACTGTAAAAAAGTGGACGACTTATGGCCAGAGTAAGCGTTTAGATAGTCATGTCTAATCTGAAATTATGTGTGTTGGTTTTCGTTAGTGGTTTGGGTTGCTTTCTCATTTTAAAACCTCAAATCTCTCTTTATTCGTGATTATACTCTATTATAGAAATATCAATGTTAAAGACGCCGTTTTCTGCTTCCGGAATGTGCTGACCTGTAGTCAACTCATTTGAACGTACACCTCATGCCTAAAGAATATAAATGTTTAGCTTTTAAGGTCCACTAAACTCTATCAGTGATTTCCTAAGTATGTTTGATCGCTTGCCAGTGAAACCATAATTTATTGTAAAATCTCCCCACTTTAAAAACATAAGAAGATGTTGTACGATTGCAAATTAGAAAACTTTCCACAAGAGATAACAATGATGTGGGTGTGGATGTTAACAAACTATAATGAGGGTGGTAAAGGGTTATTTTCGTGCAACGTGTTTTGCCATTTTTATTTCACGTGCAGCCGTGAAAAAGGTTCGTTATTCACCGTGTTTCGTGAAATCGGTAAAAAGATCAACGTGCAAGAAATTTTTAATTGTTCGTTCATCGTGAAATGGCAATTTTATTTCGCGTTCTTCCGTGCAGATACCCCCTTTACACCCCTCTATAAAAGCTCATCGTTAAAATATAAAACTGTTAAGACAATAAATGGAAAAACATATACGACAGACAGCAAACAATAACCACCAAATAATAAAGGGCCACTTTCTTGTGATAATCATATTAATAGTGCAGCGTTAACCATGTTTGCGAGCACTCAACCCTCCCATAATCAGGAACAGTTTTGAAATAGCAAACAACATAAGAACAAATTGTAAAACTCAGTTTTTTTCTGTTAAAGACCGATGGAATTTTTTACTAAAGAATAAAGCATGTCATCATGTGGCTCCTTGTTATCCAATAAGAGAAGCTAATTCTTAACCGATATGAAATAAAACCAATTAACAAAAAGACACTGAGTTCTAATAGCTAGTTCAAAGCTAATTACAGTTGATGAATAAATACTGTTGGAACCGACTAAAATATAAATCAGTACACATCCGATTAGCAACCAAATTGAAAAGTCGATTCAGTGTTACAGTCAAAGCTTTATTTATATGGTGAGTGAGTACTGAGATCGTCGCTAATTACATGAGTAGCTATTTGCTTCGAGGAGCTTGAAATTTTCATTTGTGAAAAAATATTTAACATACAATCATTTAACACTCATCATTCTTATTTTTTAATGAAAAACATTGTTGGATTCTAAATCTTAACATGTTTGTTCCAGAAGGAAAATGAAAATAAAAATATTGTTTTCTTTATAGAATTGTGGGGAAAAAATACATTAAAGACTTTGAATTTCAAAAACTAAGTCTTGCATTTCGAGAACCCCTTCCCCCAACAAAAAATTAACTGTCAGTGCCTTTAACACACGGGCAGAATTCTTTCAAATACCGAGTAAGATTGTGACGAAGTTGGTTATTCTAATCCAGTACAGTTTTCCATTTACAGGTTACATACCAACACTGTGGTGGAGAATTAGATTCTTGGATTGTAAAATAGCAGAACACAATCGCGGTCTATATCTTTATTCAAATATACAAATTTTGAGACAAGAAAGTGATGCATTTGTAATATTATTCTTTTAAATTGAGATTATTGTATTATTTCAACTGTTTTAAAAAAATACGGAACATTTTTTGTATAAATTAATTTTTTTCAACTTTGGCAAATAAGGGGAAGCAACTCATATAACCTTACTTTTACTACACAAAATTTTGATTAATTACACCACTTTCCGCAAAATATATTTTTGTATAATTTTAGTATGTTGTTCATAGATAGTAACATACTTGTTTTTCAGAGAAAAACTTTGTGTTGCAATTAGTTGAAGGTTGTTCACTAAATTGACTAGACTACTTTGAAACATGTAACATACATATGTTATCACAGATTTTTTATTTTTTTAGCCCTCAATAACAAATGTATGTTATTTTTCTCTAATAACTTATTTAAGTTAGACCCTTGACTGTCAAAGGGAAATAACTAATTTTTTAAAAGACTTTTAAAAGACAAAATGACATTTTGGAATTTTTTTCATTTTCTTTGGTAAATTGTTTGAAGAATTTAATGATAGGTTTGTTTGTCATTCTTGAAGATATTGATTTGATAATTAGTATATAGTTTTATCATGACAAGTTACAGATCAAGTTGGAATTTTGTTTCAATCTGATAATTTTGTGCAGAATTATGGTCTTTGGACATAGAAAATTCACTTAAATAATCAGTTTTCAACAGTTTTTTTCGTCATGCTTGAAGATTTTGACTTGATATTTTTATGTAGTTTACACCATGACAAGTTATAGATCAAGTTAGAATTTCATTCCATTACAATGAATTTGTAACCGGTAGGGGACTATGTATTGCCAAGCAATACTCACAGAATGCTTGTTGGTTTTGTGTTGAATAAAGTTTTAATCGTGTTTAAGTTAGTATCTATAAATAAGTTTTTCTGATTGTTTCAAATTAAAGTGACATACTAAAAACGTGAACAGGTTTCCTTTAGTTTTTTATGGCTATACAAATGGTAACTGTGAGCATACACCATGTACACATGAGTCCGATTTAAAAAAGCTTGAGAGGCAGATTATCCCTGAGGTTGCAAAGCTACATCCAACATAACTGATAGGTCTATGAAATTAGTATTTAAATGTATTTACATGAGTTTCCTGCAAAATGAATGGGCACAAATGTAATCAAAAGCTGGATGCAAACGTAACGGTTTTTATGCGCAAATGTAAGCACCAATTATCATTTTACCTGCGACACATCATATACATGTACATTTGCAATGTACCTGAGACAATTACTTGTAAACTATATCATATATAGATATAAGAAGATGTGGTATGAGTGCCAATGAGACAACTCTCCATCCATGTATATATTTTATTTATCGCTTAAATATATTCAAGATTTCCCTTAAAATCGTGACTTGTGATATGATTAATACCTCGTGTATTATTTGAGCTGTAGGTGGTATAATGATGGACAAATAGGGCCACCATAGTGGTCATAGTTTTAGTGACCACTATTTATCAGAGTATGTCACAGGTAGTACTATATGAAAGAATGCTTTTTAAATAAGTTTTAAAATTTTTTCAAGAATGCTTTGCTGTACTAATTAACTAACATCAATGCCTAAGTCTTTGCTATTTTTCAGGTATTTTTGTAACAGCATCTAAAAGTAAAGATAACACATACAATTACAATACAGTTACAGCTGTGTTACTGACAGAATGTGTCAAGCTTGTTGCAGCAGCTTGTATATTTTTAAAAGAGTGAGTTATTATAAATTAAATGTCTGTAAAATTGTTCTAGCGTAATTTAGCATTGGTATACCCTAATGCAATAATTTTTTGCCGGGATGCTGTTATTTGAAATTTCTTGGGAGAACACTGTAGTTTGTTACATTATCCAAATATCCTATATCTCAACCATACTACAGACTTTTGTATAGGATCAATTTTACAGTCATTATCAGCTTCTAAGCTGTAAATATAATGATTGTTGTAGAAAATTGATATTCAACAGATGTTCTCATCCTTCTTTCACAGCAAGGGCTACAGGTTTGATATCAAAACAGTTAAAAGGATTCTTTCTTCTGATGGTCTGACAAATTTGAATACTTGTCTCCAACAAATACTGCTGATTTGATTTATATTTTATGATGAGACTTCATGAAGCTTGTTAGGATTGTTGGTTCTGATTATTTTTGCTTTGTAGCTCACCGTTCCGAAGGAACTGTGAGCTTTTGCCATCACTTGGCGTCCTTCGTCCGTCTGGTGTAAACTATTTCAAACATCATCTCCTCTGAAACTACTGAACCAATTCCAACCAAACTTAAGCTGAATGATGCTTAGGGTATCTAGAATAAAGTTTGTGTTTTATTTACTGTTTCATCAAATAACATGGCCGCCATGGCTAAAAATAGAACATAGAGGAAAAATGCAGTTTTTGGCTTATATCTCAAAAACCAAAGCATTTAGAGCAAATCTGACATGGGTTAAAGTGTTCAATAGGTGAAGTTCTATCAGCCCTGAAATTTTCAGTTGAATCTGATAACCCATTGTTGGGTTGCTGCCACAAAATTGGTAATTTTAAGGAAATTTTGCAGTTTTTATACGAATAAAAAAAAAATTTGCTGTTGTATATTGGTATGACGTTGGCGTTGTCGTCGGCGGCAGCGTCGTTGTCATTGTCGTCCGAAGACACATTGGTTTTCGCACTTTAACTTTACTTTAAGTGAATGGATCTCTATGAAATTTTACCATAAGGTTCAATACAACAAAAGGAAGGTTGGGATTGATTTTGGGGGTTATGGTACCAACAGTTAAGAAATTAGGGGCCAAAAATAAGCATTTTTGTAACTTCCAGACATAACTTGTGTGTTAGTGTATGGATCTCTCTGACATTGTACCACAAGGTTCCATATCACAAAATGAATGCTGGGATTGATTTGGGGGGTAATTGCCTCAAAATGTTAGGAATTAGGGGCCAAAAAAAGGGCAAAAAACAAGCATTTTTCTAGTTTCATGACAATAACTTGTGTGTAAGTGTATGGATCTTTCTGAAATTGTACTACAAGGTTCCATATCACAAAAGGAAAGCTGGAATTGAGTTTGGGGGTAATTGCCCAAAACGTTTAGGAATAAGGGGCCAAAAATAACCATTTTTAGCTCACCTGGCCCGAAGGGCCAAGTGAGCTTTTCTCATCACTTGGCGTCCGTCGTCCGGCGTCGTCCGTAGTCGTCCGTCGTCGGCGTTAACTTTTTACATTTTGAACTTCTTCTAGAGAACCACTGAATGGAATGAAACCAAACATGGCATGAATGTTCCTTATGAGGTGCTGACCAAGTGTTGTTACTTTGTAGCCGATCCATCATCCAAGATGGCCGCCAGCGGGGGACTTAGTTTAACATAGGACCCTATGGGAAATGCATACAAATGACTTCTTTTAGAGAACCACTGAATGGAATAAAACCAAACATGGCATGAATGTTCCTTATGAGGTGCTGACCAAGTGTTGTTACTTTGTAGCCGATCCATCATCCAAGATGGCCGCCAGCGGGGGACTTAGTTTAACATAGGACCCTATGGGAAATGCATACAAATGACTTCTTTTAGAGAACCACTGAATGGAATAAAACCAAACATGGCATGAATGTTCCTTATGAGGTGCTGACCATGTGTTGTTACTTTGTAGCCGATCCATCATCCAAGATGGCCGCCATCAGGGAACTTAGTTTAACATAGGACCCTATGGGAAATACATACAAATGTCTTCTTTTAGAGAACCACTGAATGGAATGAAACCAAACATGGCATGAATGTTCCTTATGAGGTGCTGACCAAGTGTTGTTACTTTGTAGCCGATCCATCATCCAAGATGGCCGCCAGCGGTGGACTTAGTTTAACATAGGACCCTATGGGAAATGCATACAAATGACTTCCTTTAGAGAACCACTGAATGGAATAAAACCAAACATGGCATGAATGTTCCTTATGAGGTGCTGACCATGTGTTGTTACTTTGTAGCCGATCCATCATCCAAGATGGCCGCCATCAGGGAACTTAGTTTAACATAGGACCCTATGGGAAATACATACAAATGTCTTCTTTTAGAGAACCACTGAATGGAATGAAACCAAACATGGCATGAATGTTCCTTATGAGGTGCTGACCAAGTGTTGTTACTTTGTAGCCGATCCATCATCCAAGATGGCCTCCAGCGGGGGACTTAGTTTAACATAGGACCCTATGGGAAATACATAAAAATGTCTTCTTTTAGAGAACCACTGAATGGAATGGAACCAAACATGGCATGAATGTTCCTTATGAGATGCTGACCAAGTGTTGCTACTTTGCAGTCGGTCCATCATCCAAGATGGCCGCCAGCGGGGGACTTAGTTTAACATAGGACCCTATGGGAAATACATACAAATGTCTTCTTTTAAAGAACCACTGAATGGAATGAAACCAAACATGGCATGAATGTTCCTCATGAGGTGCTGACCAAGTGTTGTTACTTTGTAGCCGATCCATCATCCAAGATGGCAGCCAGCGGGGGACTTAGTTTAACATAGGACCCTATGGGAAATACATACAAATGTCTTCTTTTAGAGAACCACTGAATGGAATGAAACCAAACATGGCATGAATGTTCCTTATGAGGTGCTGACCAAGTGTTGTTACTTTGCAGTCTGTCCATCATCCAAGATGGCCTACAGCAGGGGACTTAGTTTAACAAAGGACCTATGGGAAATACATACAAATGTCTTCTTTTAGAGAACCACTGAATGGAATGAAACCAAACATGGCATGAATCTTCCTTATGAAATGCTGACCAAGTGTTGTTACTTTGTAGCCGATCCATCATCCAAGATGGCTGCCAGCCGGGGACTTAGTTTAACATAGGACCCTTTGGAAAATACATAAAAATGTCTTCTTTTAGAGAACCAAAAAATGGAACGGAACCAAACATGGCATGAATGTTCCTTATGAGATGTTGACCAAGTGTTGTTACTTTGCAGCCGATCCATCATCCAAGATGGCCGACAGCGGGGGACTTAGTTTAACATAGGACCCTATGGGAAATACATACAATTGTCTTCTTTTAGAGAACCACTGAATGGATTTGAACCAAACATGACATGAATGTTCCTTATGAGTTGCTGACCAAGTGTTGTTACTTTGCAGTCGATCCATCATCCAAGATGGCCGCTAGGGGGGGGGGGGCTTAGTTTAACATAGGACCCTATGGGAAATACATACAAATGTCTTCTTTTAGAGTACCACTGAATGGAATGAAACCAAACATGGCATGAATGTTCCTTATGAAGTGCTGACCAAGTGTTGCTACTTTGTTGCCGATTTACTGTTCAAGATGGCCACCAGGATATTTTATTAAATAATGGGACCAATATTAATCAAAATTTGGCCTCAATCATTATTTGGGTATCTGTTATGATTTTTATCTATCTTTACATGATTTCTAAAACCAAAGTAGAGTCAGGTGAGCGACACAGGCTCTTGAGAGCCTCTAGTTCTAATTTCAAGACAATACCTTGTGTTCAAGTGTATTGATCTCTCTGAAATTGTACTGCAAGGTACCATACCACAAAGGGAAGGTTGGGATTTGATTTTGGGGGTAATTGCCTCAAAATTTTAGGAATTAGGGGCCAAAAAGGGGCAAAAAACAAGCATTTTTCTAGTTTCAGGACAATAACTTGTGTGTAAGTGTATGGATCTTTATGAAATTGTACTACAAGGTTCCATATCACAAAGGGAACGCTGGGTTTGAGTTTGGGGGTAATTGCCCAAAATGTTTAGGAATTTGGGGCCAAAAAGGGGCCAAAAAACAAGCATTTTTCTAGTTTCCAGACAATATCTTGTATTTAAGTGTATGGATCTCTCTGAAATTGTACTGCAAGGTACCATACCACAAAGGGACGGCTGTGATTGAGTTTGGGGGTGATGAATCATAAGGGGGTTCAAAAAATTGGGGGGGGATTTTTTCCTTTTTTGTTCCTTAAAATTTTCCATTTTAAATTGTTTATTTCTGATTTATATATAAAAGCAAATAATAATGATATGGTTTGAATAGGTAAATTAAAAATTTTTAAGTTCTAAGACCACATTCATTCTGATTGATGGATTGTTGGTTGGTTAACGTCCAGTGGTAAATATTTCATGCATACTCAGGACGATACACATTCATTCTGTGTCAAAAACCTATGCTGTGTCAAATATTTAATCACAATCCGAATTCAGTGCTGTATCAAGCTTGAATGTTGTGTCCATACTTGCCCCAACTGTTCAGGGTTTCGACCTCTGCGGTCATATCAAGCTGCGCTCAGCGGAGCATTTTATTGGTTATTATCTTGAATATTATTAATGATAAAGATAAACTGTGAAAAGCAAAAATGTTCAGCAAGGTAAGATCTACAAATAAGTTCTTATGATCAAAATTGTCAATTGACCCCTTAAGGAGTTATTGCCCTTTAAGGGCAATTTTACACAATTTGTTTATCATGTTTTCTAACTTTAAAAAATCTTCTTCTCTGAAACTACTGAACCAATTCCAAACAACTTAAGCTGAATGATTCTAAGGGTATCTAGAATAAAGTTTGTGTTTTATTTTCTGTTTCGTAAAAATAGAATGTTGGGGTAAAATGCAATTTTTGGCTTATATCTCAAAAACCAAAGCATTTAGAGCTTATCTGATGGATGTAAAAATGTTTATTAGGCCTTGCTCTGTCAGCCCTGAAATTTTCAGATGAATCTAACAACCCATTGTTGGAATTCTGCCACTTAATTGGTAATTTTAAGGAAATTTTGCAGATTTTGGTTATTATCTTGAATATTATTAATGATAAAGATAAACTGTAAACAGCAAAAATGTTCAGCAAAGTAAGATCTACAAATAAGTTCTGATGACAAAAATTGTCAATTGTCCCCTTAAGGAGTTATTGCCCTTTAAAATCAATTTTTCACAATTTGTTCATTTAGTTTGCTTATTTAAAAGATCTTCTCCTTTGAAATTGCTGAATCAATTTCAGCCAAACTTGGGCTGAATGAGTTTCAGAGTATCTAGTATAAATTTTGTATTTTATTTTCTTGTACGTCTAGAAACATAGCCATTATGGCTAAAATGAAACATAGGGGTAAAATGCATTTCTTTGATTTTGAAGAAAATATGACAGATACAAAGAACATTTCAATCGATGTTTTAAGCCATTCATTAATATACATGTATATTGAAAAGCAAAAATAATCATTGATGAAAGATTTAAGCAAAAAATTACAGGTGAGCAATTCAGGCTCTTGAGAGCCTCTTGTTTCAATTGCAAGTATTCAACCAGTAGGGGAAGATACCTTAACTAGCTTCTTGTAGTAGGGCGCACATTTTGAACCTGCATTCCAGATTATTTGCCAATTTATTTGATTAATAAACAAAATTCATTCCACACATGTACTAGTTCAGATAGATATATTTCTTTTTCCGTTTGTTTATTTTGTTTTATGTTTATAATTTTTCATCGTCATTCATTAATTAGTTTATTTCTTTTCAGTAATACAGTCAGTTCTCTTCTGTCAGATATTACCAAACATAAAGATGGTAAGGAATTCTTATCCACTATTTGTATATCATGTAAACAAAATATGTAGGTAGGGCAATATGTAGTATACTACAGTGTATCAATGAAACTCTAAATTGTTCCAACAAATTACAAAATCTGCAAAACAGCTGACTTTAAAAGAGAGTTGGTAAAAACTCACATTCAAATTTTCCACACCAACAAATTTCAGTTCTTTTACAACTTCATGTTCATGGACCGTTGGTGTAAAAATGAAACATTTCAAGGAATTAAGGAAAATTATGAGAGAATGGACTCACTGGTTTGATACAACAGGTTTGTCTTTTACAGCCTTGTAGGATTGTCAATTATCACTTTGGTTATTAAATCTCAAGCCAAGAGTATGGAGAGTTTCATAGAGTAAAAAAATCCTTTTGAATCATCTTTTCAAGAGATTAGTAGAAGGTTACCTGTTGGCAGACTTAATTTCTGTCCCTATTCAACATATTGATATTTCCATTGGCAGTCCAAATATTTTCTCTACATGTGTTTCATACCATTCTTACCCTCTGCTGAACTTATTAACTTGATTATTTTTCTCATTGTGAATATGCATGAACTATTTGCCACTGGAACTTTCTGAAAGTAAAGTTATCAACTACCAGTGTGTCACTTACATCATCATCATTATGTTTTTTTTTCTAGGTTACAGTATTTTTTTTTTAAATTTTTCTACTAAAAGCTTGCCAAGCATTTCATATATTTTAGGTTTAACTGTCAGTATGTGGAGAAGTTAACATATTACATGAGATTAATTAATCTTAAAAGAGAAGTACCAGTATGCACTTTTGTCTTTATTGATCAAATGAAGAGTAAAAATTTAACGTGTACAATAAAGTGCGATACAGTAAATATTATTACTTAATTTTTTTTCAGTGCTACTGTATTACCTTGTACCATCAGCGTTATATTGTTTATACAATAACCTGGTCTTTGTTAACCTGGCATCATATGACCCAACAACATACTTCCTGTTACTACAGTTCAGAGTTGTATTGACGGGTGTGATATTTCAGGTATGTTCTTATTTTTCAAAAGGAAAGAAAAAACTACAAATACAATTCACACAAGATAAATATAAAAATATGAAGACGTGGGATAATTGCCAATGAGACAACTCTCCACCAGAGACCAAATGATGTGGAATTAAGCAACTATAGGTCACTCACTGTACGATATGCAAAACCTATATCACACAGCAAGCTTTAAAAGGTCCCAAAATGACAAATGAATAAATAATATAAACTAGAAAACTAATGGCTTAATTTATGAACAAAACAATAAACAAATATAATATTCAGCAACAAACAACAGCCACTGAATTACAGGCTCCTTAAGATGCTTATCTCAAAAGTTAAAAGCATTTATAAACTTTCTAACAGTTATCTTTACAAAACATACATTTCTTAAAATTGTTAGGAAACTAAGGTTCTGACTCGTTCTATTAAAGTTGACATAGACGGTTTGGGCTATTTTAAGGTCCCTTATGATTGTATACCTCCCCAACTAATAATACATCCTTGGCTTTAAATTTTGGGGATTTTTCCATTCCTGATGAAGAAAAATCCAGAAAAGAGCTGTAGGCAAAACAAACTTTTGAACTGTTACTTTCATCATTTAATAGAAATGCTGAGAATTACAAAATTTTATTGGTAAACTAAATTTATAGTTAAAAAAATCTATGGTGGTAACTGATATTATAATTTTCCATATGTACATGTAGTAAGCATTTCAAAATTGATCGTTTCAGATTGTTTTCAATAAGAAGTTGACAACGCTTCAGTGGGTGTCACTAGGATGCCTTACATTCGGATGTGTCTTGAAAGAGTATGGCAAAATGTCACAAAAAACAAGTGACAAATCGTCAGATTTCATGTCCTACCTTGACCCTCACCTGTTTCTTATCATCGTCCAGGTGTTCAGCTCATGTTTTGCAGGCGTGTACAATGAGTACCTGTTGAAAGACAAAGGTGTAGATGTCCACATAATGGTACAGAACGTATTCATGTATTTAGATTCTATCTTATGTAACGTCATAGCACTGGGATTTAAAGGAGATTTGTCCAATGCCTTCACATTTACTAGTCTCAGCACTATGGCCCAACCTAGTGTGATATGTATAGTTCTGAACAATGCCGCTATTGGTATAGTCACCAGTTTATTCTTACGATCACTGAATTCCATATTGAAGACATTTGCTAGTGCTTTAGAACTTATGTTTACTGCAGTTTTGTGCTGGATGATCTTTGGTATATCTATTGACATGTACACAGTAGTGGCACTTGGAATTGTAACAGCAGCCACTTTTCTGTATTCTCACAAACCTGTTGTCAACCTGGCCAAGACGGATGAGCACAAAACAAAAGAAGATGTCTAAATAATTCTGTTTAAATCTTCAAAAGGCTGATACTGTAACCAATGAAACAAAACCATAATCTTGTGATTTGTTGATCAGTTCCTTACCAAATTATTAACAAACGTAAAAAGAAGTAGCGACTTATATAAAGTTTTTTACTGGATCTTTTGTGATCAGTGCTTTAAGTTTTTGTCATGTTGTTAAAAGCAACTATTTATACTTTTTATAAGTATCATTTATGCACCAAAATCTTTTGCTATTCAGTTATAGTGTTTAAAACCATAATTTTCAACCCATAATTTAAACTCCTTAACATGCTTAAGGCAGTTTTAGTTTATTTAAACAAATTCAAAGCTGATATAATCAATATTCTTATCAGAAAAATATTATTTCTTTTAAGGACTGTATTTGAGTTAAACTATTTGAATTTTGTGTGGAACACAAATGTAAGAATAGGCTTAAAGTCAGAAATTATAGATACTTTTCTTTTTTTTTTTATTGACTTCCTTGTTTCTTTCTAGAAATATGTAATTTCAACTGATTAGTATCCAATGAAAAACTTTTTTTGCTTGCAATTTTGTCTGGAAATATTGTAAAGAATGGTTATAATACACAAATGCAATTAGTACAATCAAACAAGTGTTCATCCTTTATGCCTAAAAACATGTTTAGCCTTTGAGAAACATTTAACCTTGAATATTATAACTGTAAACTTGAAGTTACTGTCAAATTCTTTTTTTAATTTTAATCTCTCTGTTGCAAATGTGTTTGTGTGGCTTATATTAAGTCAAATATAGAGCATAGACACATGATATATTTCAAAGTTCAGACATAGCAGAAAACTTTCATTAGCTGCTGTGTAAGCTACAGCATTGTTTATTTAGAATATATAGACAATAAATATACAGTTAAATACCACTAAAAGCAAATATTTTCTGAATTGAGATTTATACAACAAACTAAGCTTACCAATTCATGAAAAATTTGCAGTTTAGCTTGTAGGATTGTGGCATATCAAGGGTGATAAGTGAAATTCACAATAAATATATACACACAAAGTTTTTATCTATAGTCAGCATATTATATCTTTATTTGAAAATCACCATATTTATATTTATGCAAATGTTCTATGCAAATTTTTCTATTGCTTATTTACAATTTTGTATTGTTTGAATTAAATATTTTTTGTGTTTTTTGTTAATAATGTCAGTTCGGGGTAATACTTATTCAAGTGTTTTTTATTTACTTGAACAGGTGAATAATTTTGGAGGTAGAGTTATATCCCTTGGACATTCAGAATTTTTTAACTAATATCAGTGGCGGATCCAGAACTTTTTGTAAGGGGGGGCCTGCTCCAGTCACGCTTCAGTGATTCCCTATATAATCAACCAAATTTTTCCCACAATAGGGAGGGGGGGGGGGGGGGGGGGGGGCCCGCAGCCCGAAGACACATTGGTTTTCGCACTCTACCTTTAGTTTAAGTGAATGGATCTCTATGAAATTTTCCCATAAGGTTCAATACCACAAAAGGCAGGTAGGGATTGATTTTGGGGGTTATGGTACCAACAGTTAAGGAATTAGGGGCCAAAAAGGGGCAAAAAATAAGCATTTTTGTAACTTCCAGACATAACTTGTGTGTTAGTGTATGGATCTCTCTGACATTGAACCACAAGGTTCCATATCACAAAGGGAATGCTGGGATTGATTTAAGGGGTAATTGCCTCAAAATTTTAGGAATTAGGGAACAAAAAGGGGCAAAAAACAAGCATTTTTCTAGTTTCATGACAATAACTTGTGTGTAAGTGTATGGATCTTTATGAAATTGTACTACAAGGTTCCATATCACAAAGGGAAAGCTGGAATTGAGTTTGGGGGTAATTTCCCAAAACGTTTAGGAATAAGGGGCCAAAAATAAGCATTTTTCTAGTTTCCAGACAATAACTTGTGTTCAAGTGTATGGATCTCTCTGAAATTTTACTGCAAGGTACCATACCACAAAGGAAAGGCTGGGATTGATTTTGGGGGTAATTGCCTCAAAATTTTCGGAATTTGGGGCCAAAAAGGGGCAAAAAACCAAGCATATTTCTAGTTTCAGGACAATAACTTATGTGTAAGTGTATGGATCTTTATGAAATTTTACTACAAGGTTCCATATCACAAAGGGAAAGCTGGGTTTGAGTTTTGGAGTAATTGCACTAAAAGTTTAGGAATTTGGGGCCAAAAAGAGGCAAAAAAAACAAACATTTTTCTAGTTTCCAGACAATAACTTGTGTTCAAGTGTATGGATCTCTCTGAAATTGTACTGCAAGGTACTATACCACAAAGGGAAGGCTGGGATTGTGTGTGGGTGATGATTCATAAGGGGGTTCAAAAAATTTGGGAGTGGATTTTTTTACCTTTTTTTCCTTTAAAATTTTCCATTTAAAATTGGTTATTTCTGATTTATATATAAAAGCAAATAATAATGATATGGTTTGAATAGGTAAATTAAAATTTTTTAAGTTCTTAGACCACTTTCATTCTGTGTCAGAAACCTATGCTGTGTCAAATATTTAATTACAATCCAAATTCAGTGCTGTATCAAGCTTGAATGTTGTGTCCATACTTGCCCCAACTGTTCAGGGTTCGACCTCTGCGGTCGTATCAAGCTGCGCCCAGCAGAGCATTTTATTGAAGGATGGATGGAGTTACTTAAAACATCTGTGTGCAGAAGGTTTCTCTGATTAGTTCATGAGATGAATAATGTTGTTCAATGTTGAGCGATTATTTAAAATATACTTAGCAAACCAGGAAAAATGTTCGAGTGATTTTTTTGACCTCCTAAGACTTGAGAATTTCAGGGTTTGTAAAAAATTAACTATGTCAGAGAAGACTAAGGGGAGATTATCTAAATTTTAAAAGGAAAATTTAAATCTTACAAATTTACCTGTTCAAGTAAGTATTACTTACATCTTCAAGTATATAAACATGGCTTGTATTAGAAGTACCTCTGAACGTTATATTAATCTTTCCAAAGGTTGTTGGAAGTTAGGAAATGTTCAGTAAAATATGGTTTGGTAGAGTTGATGAATTAATATTACTAGACATGGTAGAGGAAAGAACCATAAAATTAAGAAAATCTCAGGAATCTCAAGAATAAATCCAAAAACATAATCATGTCCAGTTACAGCTGGTTGTTCTGCATCCTTTCAATGACCTTTGGAAGACTGTTATTATTGTTATCAGTGTCCTGTTATTATAAATTCTTTTAGACTGTTGTTTTGTGTCATATTTAAAGGGGCATTAGCTACTAGGTATAGCTCTTCTTTGTTCAATCATTAATGAAAGTGAAAAAATGAAATAATAGTTCACTTTTAGCAGCCATTTTGTTTCAATTTTGTCAAAATAAGCTAAGAAACATCGCTTATGACCTCATTGAATCCATATTCATGTGACCTTCAATTGAATCCCCTAGCTAGAGATGGGTTACGCATGAACTAGGCATGTTAAGCTATTAGACTTTTTATAATTTGGATATACGTTTTAGTATGTTATAAATCAAATATGAGAATTTGAGTCAAATCGGTGAAAATGAATTTGATAGCTAATGCCCCTTTAATAAGTGAAATAATTTACTGCTGTTATAGAGAGAGATTATAGATGGGATAGATAAAGAAGGATGATAGAAATAGTAATGCTTATTTGTCTTATAGCTCACAGCAGTTCTATGTTGTCAGTATTTTTAATTCTGAGGTATTTAGCTTTCACTTTAAGTGAAATGAATTAAAGACTGTTTATTTCTTGTTATTTAATGATAGATATATATTAACAGTAGAAAGAATCATTTTGAAGTTTTTTAGTACATGTTGGATGTTTTCGTCAGAGATGAAATGTTCAGTATGATATAAATTGCCTTTATTTCCATTAAAAGTGTACAAAATTTTAAAATGTGTCTCAGTCCTAATGTTTTAATTCTCAACCCAATTTTTAGTTGACGTGAATGGAATTATTGTAAATAAATATCTGAATGTACATTAGTCATGACTTACTTCTCGTATGTCATACTCTGAGGGATTTAAATTTTTATTTTTAATTTTCAGGGTTATTTAAAATGAAATCAGAAATTCCTGCTCCAGTCTCATTTTGAGTTTCCTGAAATTGGTGAACTGATATGACTTATGTTGAAACCAATGCTGTAAATTTAATTAAATAATTGATTAAATATTTATCATTCAGTGATGCTTCTTAGAAATAATAAAATGTTGTTTTTATTGGGCAGGATGACACACTAAATATCATTTTAACTAACTTTTAGCTCACCTGGCCAAAAGGTTTTATAAATTTTTGCGGTCGTATATTGGTATGACGTTGGCGTCGTCGTCCGGCGTTGTCATCCGAAGACACATTGGTTTTCGCACTCTAACTTTAGTTTAAGTGAATGGATCTCTTTGAAATTTTACCATAAGGTTCAATACCACAAAAGGAAGGTGGGGATTGATTTTGGGGGTTATGGTCCCAACAGTTAAGGAATAAGGGGCCAAAAAGGGGCCAAAAATAAGCATTTTCTAGTTTCCAGACAATAACTGTGGAACGGTGTATGGATCACTCTGAAATTATACTACAAGTTTCCATACCACAAAAGGATGGTTAGGATTTGCTTTGGGGGGTTATGGCTCAAACCGTTTAGGAAATAGGGGCAAAAAAGGGGAAAAACAAGGTTGTCCTGGTTAATGGACAAATACTTTAGTACAAAACATAATTTAAAGCAGTGTAAGGGAGATAAATCAAATACATCATTGAAATTATCTCCCTTACACTGCTTTTAAATTATGTATAAAGTAATGGTTAATGAACAATTAAGATAATTTAAAGCAGTGTAAGGGAGGTAATCCAAATACAAGGTTTTGGTTACTTCCCTTACACTGCTTTTAAATTATGTTTAAAGAAATGCATATTTATAAAGGAAGACCAGTAAAAATATCTGCAAATGTTGCATCTTTTTTAAAAAAAAAAATCCATATGAAAGATTTGACACTATATTTTAAATTCTATTATAAAATAGATTAAGTTAGCACTATGGTAAATTTAAATGGGTAATTATGGTTGCAAACTCCATTGGAAATATGAAATGAGATTATGACCATATCTTGAGGGAAAGAATTTTTTGGGGAAAAAAAGGGGGGGGGGGGGTAAAAAGAAATTGTGGGGGGTCAATTTTTTCTCATTTCAGATTTCAGAAATTAAAAAGAATTATTCTTCAAATATGGTTTTTTTTCAACTTTCGAATATTGAAAAATTTTAAGAAGTAATCTTTAATTGCACAGTATGGTGCATTGGATTTGTAAAATCTTTGACCACATTTTTTTTATTTGTTATGCCGAATCTAACCGTGTATTTAGATTTTTAATTTTGGGTCCAGTTTTCAAATTGGTCAACATTAAGGTCCAAAGGGTCCAAAATTAAACTTTGTTTGATTTTAACAAAAATTGAATATATGGGGTTCTTTGATATGCTGAATCTAAACATGTAGTTAGATTTTTGATTATGGGCCCAGTTTTCAAGTTGGTCCAAGTTGGGGTCCAAAATTAAACTTTGTTTGATTTCAACAAAAATTGAATATATGGGGTTCTTTGATATGCTGAATCTTAACATGTATTTAGATTTTTGGCCCAGTTTTCAAGTTGGTCCAAATTGGGGTCCAAAATTAAACTTTGTTTGATTTCAACAAAAATTGAATATATGGGGTTCTTTGATATGCTGAATCTAACCATGTATTTAGATTTTTTATTTGTGGGCCCGCTATCAAATTGGTTCATATTGAGGTCAAAAGGGTCCAAAATTAAACTTTGTTTGATTTCATCAAAAATTGAATTATTGGGGTTCTTTGATATGCCAAATCTAACCGTGTTTTTAGATTTTTAATTTATGGTCCCGTTTTTTAAATTGGTCTACATTAAGGTCCAAAGGGTCCAAAATTAAACTTAGTTTGATTTTAACAAAAATTGAATTCTTGGGGTTCTTTGATATGCTGAATCTAAACATGTGTTTAGATTTTTGATTATGGGCCCAGTTTTCAAGTTGGTCCAAGTTGGGGTCCAAAATTAAACTTTTTTTGATTTCAACAAAAATTGAATATATGGGGTTCTTTGATATGCTGAATCTAACCATGATTTTAGATTTTTTATTTGTGGGCCCCGCTATCAAATTGGTTCATATTGAGGTCAAAAGGGTCCAAAATTAAACTTAGTTTGATTTTAACAAAAATTGAATTCTTGGGGTTCTTTGATATGCTGAATCTAAACATGTGTTTAGATTTTTGATTATGGGCCCAGTTTTCAAGTTGGTCCAAGTTGGGGTCCAAAATTAAACTTTGTTTGATTTCAACAAAAATTGAATATATGGGGTTCTTTGATATGCTGAATCTAACCATGTATTTCGATTTTGGACATTGGACCATAATAGGTAAATTAAAAAAATTCAAGTTCTTAGACCACATTCTTTCTGTGTCAGAAACCTATGCTGTGTCAAATATTTAATCACAATCCAAATTCAGAGCTGTATCAAGCTTGAATGTTGTGTCCATACTTGCCCCAACTGTTCAGGGTTCGACCTCTGCAGTCGTATCAAGCTGCGCCCAGCGAAGCATTTTATTTCATCTCTTGGCGTCCGTCGTTCGTCCTCCGTCGTCGGCGTCCGTTAACTTTTACAAAAATCTTCTCCTCTGAAACTACTGGGCCAAATTTATCCAAACTTGGCCACAATCATCACTAGGGTATCTAGTTTAAAAATGTGTCCGATGACCCCGCCTGCCAACCAAAATGGCCGACATGCCTAAAAATAGAACATAGGGGTAAAATGCAGTTTTTGGCTTGTATCTCTGAAACTAAAGCATTAAGAGCAAATCTGACATGGAATAAACATGTTCATCAGGTTAAGATCTATCTGGCCTGAAATTTTCAGATGAATCAGACAACCCGTTGTTGGGTTGCTGCCCCTAAATTACTAATTTTAAGGAAATTTTGCAGTTTTTGGTTATTATCTTGAATATTATTATAGATAGAGATAAACTGAAAACAGCAATAATGTTCAGCAAAGTAAGATCTACAAATAAGTCAACATGACCAAAATGGTCAATTGACCCCTTAAGGAGTAATTGCCCTTTAAAGTCAATTTTTAATAATTTTTCGTAAATTTTTGTACTCTTTTACAAAAATCTTCTCTCCTGAAACAACTGAGACAAATTTAACCAAACTTGGCCACAATCAACACTAGTGTATCTAGTTTAGAAAATGTGTCCAATGACCCTGCCTGCCAACCAACATGTCAGACATGGCTAAAAATTGAACTTAGGGGGAAAATGCAGGTTTTATACGACCGCAAAAAAAAATTTGTGGTCGTATATTGGTATGACGTTGGCGTCGTCGTCATCGTCCGAAGACACATTAGTTTTCGCACTCTAACTTTAGTTTAAGTGAATGGATCTCAATGAAATTTTACCATAAGGTTCAATACCACAAAAGGAAGGTGGGGATTGATTTTGGGGGATATGGTATTAACAGTTCAGGAATTAGGGGCCAAAAATAAGCATTTTTACAACTTCCAGACATAACTTGTGTGTTAGTGTATGGATATCTCTGACATTGTACCACAAGGTTCCATATCACAAAGGGAATGCTGGGATTGATTTTGGAGGTAATTGCCTCCAAATTTTAGGAATTAGGGGCCAAAAAGGGCAAAAAACAAGCATTTATCTAGTTTCATGACAATAACTTGTGTGTAAGTGTATGGATCTTTATGAAATTGTACTACAAGGTTCCATATCACAAAGGAAAAGCTGGAATTGAGTTTGGGGGTAATTGCCCAAAATGTTTAGGAATAAGGGGCCAAAAAGGGGCCAAAAATAAGCATTTTTCTAGTTTCCAGACAATAACTTGTGTTAAAGTGTATGGATCTCTCTGAAATTGTACTGCAAGGTACCATACCACAAAGGGAAGGCAGGGATTGATTTTGGGGGTAATTCCCTCAAAATTTTAGCAATAAGGGGCCATAAAAGGGCAAAAAACAAGCATTTTTCTAGTTTCAGGACAATAACTTGTTTGTAAGTGTATGGATCTTTATGAAATTGTACTGCAAGGTTCCATATCACAAAGGGAAAGCTGGGTTTGAGTTTGGGGGTAATTGCCCTAAACGTTTAGGAATTTGGGGCCAAAAAACAAGCATTTTTCTAGTTTCCAGACAATAACTTGTGTTCAAGTGTATGGATCTCTCTGAAATTGTACTGCAAGGTACCATACCACAAAGGGAAAGCTGGGATTGAGTTTGGGGGTGATGAATCATAAGGGGGTTCAAAAAACTTGGGGGGGGGGGATTTTTTTATTCTTTAAATTTTCCATTTTAAATTGGTTATTTCTGATTAATATATAAAAGCAAATAATAATGATATGGTTTGAATAGGTAAATTAAAAATTTTTAAGTTCTTAGACCACTTTCATTCTGTGTCAGAAACCTATGCTGTGTCAAATATTTAATTACAATCCAAATTCAGTGCTGTATCAAGCTTGAATGTTGTGTCCATACTTGCCCCAACTGTTCAGGGTTCGACCTCTGAGGTCGTATCCAGCTGCGCCCCAGTGGAGCATTTTATTGACTTATATCTCTGAAACTAAAGCAAATGTATATAGGTTGCATTATTTCATGCATCAATGGTAAATAAAAATATCAGGTGAGCGACACAGGCTCCTTGGAGCCTCTAGTTAAATATTTACTAGGTGATTAATTTGGAAACATGCATGGCATCGACTGTTGCAGAGTTTTCTGGTTTGCTAGTTATTGGTTCATGTGTGTGTTCACGGGATTTATAAATGGTAATTTTATGTTGCTATGAGTGGGTTATCTTCTTTATGGTCTTTGTTATTAATGTGTATGATAAATTTTGTCATACGCAATTATGGAGGAAGTTAATTCAAGTATGACTAATTTATTGCATTCAATGGTTATGCTTGTAGATTCTCTTGTTATTCAAATGTATAATAAGTTTTAAGACATACAAATAGGAAATATGAAACAGTTAATTTGTGCAATATTTGGACATTGGGAGGACAAAATGGAAGCGGGAGTTATGATAAATAAATAGGATTGCTAGGGGTTTAATATCACCGAAAGATAGTAAAATTAACCTGTGTAGAGTTATGTACACAATGAGAAAGTGAGAAATAAAGAAATCTTTATTTCTTCCTTTATTCTTTTTCCTGGCATTTTCAACAAAAAGTAGTTCAATCTTATTTGCTCATATTCACATTTTTGTTATATGTTATGTTTAAATTGAATAACTTAAAAGTTTGATATTTCAACTTATTATTGATTAAATCACAATGGTCTCTTTATATTGTACTTTCTTCAAAGATGGGAGGTTGTTGGGTTTGATCCATCAGTTGCTCAAACCAGACCTTATAAATGGCAATTGCAGTTTCTCTGCAAAACATGCAGCATTTAGGAGTAACAGCAAGGGTTAGTTGGCTCAGAGTCAGAATAAAGTGCCTGTGTAGGGTGATATGTCTTCTTTCAAACAGATAGTTTATGGGCTAGCATGTTGAAAATTAGGTGTGGTCAGGTACAAAGTAGGGTGTATTCATTAACTTGTTATCATCCTGAAAAGTATGTTACTTTTTGTTGATACAATTGCTGCTGTTTTTCAGAAAACAATCATTCAGTCTAATACCTACAGCTGAAGTTTCAAATGCTAGCTGCTAGTAATACATTTTTTCTGTCCATCCATCTGTTTTATACTTTTGAACAGTCTCCTTTTTGTATCTTTCTGATGATTTCAGTTTTCGTCTTGTCTGACGGAGTCAAAAAGTGAGACATACGTCTGCTGTTTCTGATGTGGCGGTATCAACAGTGTATTAGTTTGTGATGAGGTCAGTTTATGGGGAACTGCTAGTTGTAGGTCAATGATATTTGGTATGCAGTTGTATTATCATTGGAACATCTCATTTCCATGTAGACTATTTGGCCCACCCCTTTAGTCATGGTCTATTGACTTTAAAACTTTTGCTTAGTTTACATGTATTAGTTTGTGATTAGGTCAGTTTATGGGGAACCACTAGTGGACAGTCAATGATATTTGGTATGCAGTTGTATAAGCATTGGCACATCTCATTTCCATGGAGATTCCTTGGCCCTGCCCCCTCAGTCATGGTTCCTTGTTTTTGAATATTTTGCATAACTTACAAGTTAAAGTATTGCTATTTTTATTTCAACATTTGCATTAAAGATCAAAATAACAAAAAAGCAAGACATATCTCTGTGTTAACAGTTTATTAATCTATAAGTGAATACTTAACTAGCTACTTAACAAGCATAAAGTGCCATATTGAGTTTTATCATGGTCAATTGAAACTTATAGGATAGTTTCAGTGTCAGGTTTCCCTTTTCAAATGCATTATGATAAAAGTGTGTAATGTAAGGTTCCCCTGATTCCTAGAAATTATTTGGACATATTTTGTTTATTTTTTGTTATTTATTAATAGATATGTTAACACTAGAAAGAATCATTTTGAAGTTTTTTATAACATGTTACATGTTTTCATCAGAGATATAAATAAAATTGAATAAAATGTTCAATATGATTTTAATGTTAAATGATCCTGATAAGCATCCAATTTAATGATTGGAATACAAATGGTAGTATATCCACTTTCATTTCTTGAAAAAAAAAGATGAATAAGTATTTGCATTTTTTCCCCAACTGTTCAGCTCAATTTAATTCTGACATAGAGCTCAATGTATATCTTACTTAAAGCCATCTTAATATTTGTGAGGTTTTGAAAGCAATATTTTGCTTAGGCAGGAGTTTCAGATCACTTTTTTTTTTATTTTGGAATTTTACCTTTGGAAATTTTGTTTTAAAATATGATATCTTTTAAAACGTCTTTTTATAAAATCAAAAAATAGAAATGACCGCTTTCAAGAAAATTGGATAATTTTGGGAGTTACTGGAGATAGAGTTAGCATATATGAATATAAATGCATTTCCATTATTTAGTATATTACAGTATTTATTTATTGTTCATGCAGAAAGCTTTTCTCTTTCTCCACAAAATAGTTATATATATTAAAATATATTTTCTTTGTAACTTTTAAGTAGTGCTGCGTTTGTAAACTGTTGTTATTTCTCTTATTACTATTATTATTCGATTATTTTACTGTGATACATGTTTGTATGGTAATAAAACCTTAAAACTTAATTTAGTAAAAAAAAATGCTCTCAATACCATAACAAATTTACTGGCATTAACTTCTCATGAGTTGGGTTTAAAATTGATTTAAAAATAATCTTTTGTCATTTTGCATACATACGATACAACTTTATATAATACTGCATAATGATGAGGATAATACAAGCTACCATAATCAAAAGAAAGTTAAAACTTTATTCATATATTTTTAAGTTTTTAAAAAGTAAAACAACAAAAATACCGGACTCCAAGAAAATTCAAAACCGAAAGTCACTTAACAATTGGCAAAATCAAAAGCTCAAACTCATCAAACGAATGGAAAACAACTGTCATATTCCTGACTTGGTACAGTCATTTCCGTATGTAGAAAATGGCGGATTAAACCTGGTTTTGAAGCTAGCTTAACCTCTAACTTGTGTGACAGTCGCAAAAAAATCCATTATATTGACAGCAATGTGTGAACAAAACAAACAGACATAATAGGTAAAAATGTCAAAAATAGGGGTACAGCAGTCAACGTGTTATAATTTCAATCACTATAAAAACAAACAAATATGTCAACAAAGAAAAACAAATGAAATAAAAACAAAGCACATACGTAACAATGAAAGACAAGAATACAAAAAATGACCACAGAACAACATGCAGATTGTGTTGTAAAAAGTTAAAACAACACTTTATAAATTTCATGCCTCCTAAACTCTTTTCTGGATTTACCTTCATTAGGAACGCTAAAAGACGAATATTTTAAAGCCAAGGACATATAACAACCGAAACAGTTGAAAAGGTATATATTTTGTGTTAAAACCAAACAAAATAAATTCCTTTTAGAACAGGCACCAGGAACCAGGCATCAAACTGATGTAAAAAAAAAAAACAGGAGGAAGTTACCAAGGGGACATTAAAAAAAAAAAAAAAAATCAGTCGAAGAGAAACTGCCAATCGAATGGCAAAAAATGAAAGACCACAAAACACTACATAGACAACTAAAGACTGAGTGAGTAACGTGAACCACACCAAAAACTGGGGGTGTAATTGTTATAAAACATTAAGGACAAAATCATGAAAAATAGGTATAACTATAAACTTTTTCCCTTGACTGTACGCCTGTTCTACTACATTTCCGTAGCTTTTTTCTCAGTCAAATGATAACTTACAGAAATGTGTTACAAGGCTTTATGTCATCATACTATACCGTGTGAGGCGGTTTCATGTTCATTGCTCAACAACTTCCTGTTTACTGAATACTTTTATATTCTAAACATAATGGTCATGTATGAAATTTTTGTCCCATTCTTCTATGAATTACAAGTAATAGCTTGCTGAAATTTGTTATCAGGCTTCATATTAGGATGCTATTACGTGTGACCAGGTTTCAGATCCATTGCTTATCAATTTCCTGTTTACCGAAAATTTAAACCATTTTTACACGTACTAGCCATGTATGCCATTTCCGTCGCATTTTTCTACTGAACTACACAAATAAGAGCTTCCCGAAATTTGCTATCAGGCTTCATGCGATCATGTTTTACTGTTTTCGGATTCAGTTTTCTTCAGCTTCCTGTTTACAGGAAATTTAAAGCGGAGGTTTCATTAATGAGTAATAGCTCACAGTTCTATACTTGTTCTGATGGCTTAAGTTACTAGTATTAAATTAACGGATCACAAAAAGCTTCATTCCATGTTCAGAAGACCCCGATTTTAACTAATTAGGTAGCCTTTACTCTAATATTTGTTATTGATTATTCGTCATAACTTATGAATTTATTTGAATACAAGAGGATCGCAGAGAAAATAAAACATTGCAAAATTTTTGTTAACCTTAAACAAGGATTTGTATAGTGAGACAATACAAATCCTTGCCTTAAACAAATACCATACAAAACAATTAGAAAATACACATGATCACAGACATACTACACTCAAACAACCTTTTTGTACAAAAAAAAAACATTTAAAGTATAGCTTATATTCTAATATGACATTTGCATAGAGGCAATATCTGGTGTAATTATGAAAATTATTGTTCTGTTTTGCATGTAAGCCTATTGAACAGTCAATAACAAGACTGCATCCAATAACTGACAGCATGGGTTGGTTTGCCTCAGAAACAAAAATGGCTGGAATATACCAGGAATGTAATCACACACGTTTTTTTTTTCGATCACTCATCCCTGTTTTCACACATAACTTTTTTGAATCACGTTGAACATGTTGAATGCATTTGTTTAAACGGATCAGTGTGCTTTCGGTTCTTTCCAGATCTTAATTTGCCGAAAACGGTAAGCACTCGCATTCTGACCTTTCAATATGGTAAATTACTACACCAGTTATAGTCCGATGTTCAAATCTCTTAAATCGATTATGTAATAACTCATTAAAGATACCAGGTTTATAATTTGGTACGCCAGATCTGCGTTTCGTTTACACAAGCCTCATCAGTGGCTGTCGAATAACAAAAGTGTTAAGTCTAAGTCTAAAACGAAGTTGACAATTCTGAGAAATGTTATGTCAATTACTTCAGAAATAGACATTCTTTTGCAGGAATAACTTAAAGCAGCGAAAGATTAGGTAAGTCTTGGTTTGATTATTTAATTTTCTGTGTCGGTCACATTGAGGCCTTTCAACACGAAGCAAAATAACTCTCAACTCATTGCAAGTTTATGACGGCCCCTTGCACCGACTTGAGCGGAATTCTTTGCAAAAATAATTTGGATAAACTTTATAAGATGTAACACCACCAAATCGGGCCCGGTCAAAAAAGAACATACTGGAAAGTAGTACATATTTAAATCAAAATAGTTCCTACTAATCGGTGTAAATATATAACTATGGAGAATATATTTCAGTAATTAAGGTATCAAATGAAAGGTAAAGTACTGGTGATCCTTGAAGAACACATATTGACTGATAATTTTGAATAATACAAAAATGTAAGTACTGCACCCAAAAGCGATGAAAGAAATGATAGGTTTAGGCTTGATTCTTTAGATTTCTGTGCATGTTAACTGTTTGATCGGTAGTCGATTCTTGTATTTTACTTGAAGAATCCATTCCGTCATGTTTCCTTTGTACAATAATGATAAATACTATTCCATTGAGTACACCACCTAAATTTGAGAACGTTGTTACGAAATGGAACAAAACTTGTGGGACATCCGTTTCCCACTGCCATATACCGTACGTTGCCATGGCCCACCACTGTACAAGAAAAGCGGTAACGAATAGAGACATGGTTTTCGCAGCTCTGTGCGATGCTTCCAAAGATTTATGCGGATTTTTTATGGCCTTTACTTCCTTATAGATACGAAACCAGCTAATGACATACAGTATTATATTGGTTATTGTAATGACAGAAAGAAAAATGGTTGTAAATATAAAGTTCGCTACATGTCCGTTAACACCATCGAAGAAACAACTGAAACGAAAAAAGTAAATATTATTTAATGGTTGAAACAAATGAGAAAAAATATTTAATACATTTTTTAGAATAAGGATTCCGAAGATACATTCCTTGCAGTAGGAAGAACATTTTGATTGTATATTTTTATTTTATGAATTATTTAATTATACATTAAATGGTGTTTCAACATCCCACAGAGCATATTGAATCCATTACTGTCCGCTGATACATTTCACACAGAAGGAATGTGTCAATTGTAAATTTTGATTCTATATTTTAGTTCTTATTAAGTTATATCTTTAGTGGTGCTGCAACATTCCCCGTCATAGTTTATCTTGTTTTTACAGTTGCACTTAACATCGAATGTTTGTTTAAACTATCTAAAATTTATAGATGTGTGTTTCTAATTATTTTGGTCTTGAGCGTAACAAATGGTGTTACGTCAGAAACCTCCATGCACTGTTTCTATTTCAAACAATTTCATATTCAAAATGTTGATGATATTTTGGAACCTCACTTACAAATCCTCACAACTCTCACTATTTATATACTAGTAAGCAGACAAAGCCTCTAACAATGTTTTGTTTGTATGTACACATCGTCTTACAAAGGAACTCGAATTTCATAGAAAATCCAACATATACTCTTATATCAGTCACGAAATAGGAGATTATAGAAAATAAAAAATCCTTCCTCATGTCCTTTTTGTTTAAACATAATAAATGACGATGAAAAACTTCCTTCTTTTGTATTGGTTACTAGAACTTCACAAAAAACCTTTAGAAGAACGACATATATCACCTGAATGTTTGGCTAAACATTTTTTTTTTAAATTCTGATGATCATCCCTTCTACTGTAAAAGATGGCCGTGATAAATATTGTTATTAGGTATACTAAACCAACAGTACCAGATGGGGATTCCAAAAGATCAACTTTACAAAAATGGATAATTGTAGACATAAATATTAAAAAATCACACTAATCTATAAACAAATACACTGAATACGATAAAATCAGAATGCTGGATTCTTTTTTCAAATCAACAACATTTTGTCTAGTTTGGTGGACTAATATTTAAACAAACAGTCGGTATTCCAAATGACACCAATTGTCAACCTGTCTTTGCACCAATGTGTCATGTCCATAAATAATCAATGTTTAAGCTAGTGTTAGAATCTCGTATAGTCCAGTGAACTATTAGTGACATTAAAACTACTGAAAAGAGAAGATCTGCTTTTTATCCATGTAGCTGATTTGGCGTAAATCAATCACCAATCAATCAATATTATCCATGTCATCTAGATCTTTTTCTTGAAATTGTTACGGATGGACCACTTGAATGTAGGTTCTATGACAAACGTAATCATTATCAACTGATACATTACGCACGTTCATGTTCTCATTATAAAGACCCCATAGGGTGTGCTAGGAACGCTAAATACTTCCTGAGCATGGTGCAGGGTTATGAGGAAGAGCAATTAAAATTGACATAACACAATTTTCACTGTAATCATCCAAAATTGAGGGATACGATGTTTTCGAGGTCTTAGATCTTAAAATACCAAAATAGTTGTTTGATCTGTGAATTGGCCGATTGTGTTCTATTCCCTATCGTAACGTTTTGACTATATCTGCATGGATGATGTCGATATATTGACAGGAGCAGATGTTTGCCTCGCCAACCCATCCGATTTTTATCGTTGAAAATTTCGTATGAATTGAAATAGAACGCCGAGATTTAATCATTGGTAAACATGGCCTATAAATCACGTTTTCATAACATTTTAGCAGTCTGTGTGGTCAAAAGACAGAATCTGTCATATAAGACAATATATAAATTAAAGCGACAGTAGTTTTTTAATTTCGGTAATCGATTAAGGAAGACATATCAAAGTAACAAACAAAAAGTAAGGAAATCGCATGACCTCAAAAAGAAAGGAACCCGGTGCTTCGACGATAGGTTAAGCGTCTCCATGTTTTTACTTACAAGCTTCCATTAGGACCTAGCTGTCCTAAACCAGCTGCTACAGTTAGTCCTAATGCAGGAGCCCCAAAAATGAATCCAAGAAGTCGATAATCCCTGCATCCAAAGTTAAGTTTCTTCCGAAAATAAACTAAAACAAAAACATTAATTGCAACGATGCTGACCAATAAATTCTGAGCTGTGACAAATTCTGCCAACAAAAATCCATAGAATGCACACAGATATTTTGGTGTTGGTAGCTCCTTTGTAAGAACTATATGCAAATGGTCAGAGAAATGCGCAATATTAAAAAGACCATCACATAATGCCATATAAACAGCAAATCGTTCGCATATTGTCCACTGAAAGAATGTTGATATGTGCTGATGATAAAATGAGTAGCTTATAACGGATATAACGCATGTAAAGCTTAAACATATACAAATCAGTGCTGGTATATGGATGTCGTAAAAAGTATCATTAGCTAGTCCATATACAGGTAAATCATAACCATCCTTTAGCTCTTTTGTTGTTACTGTGGTTACGGCAATGATGGTACTAGATGAAATATTCATTGAAATATTCATTATAGTTATTTTCTTATCTTCTACTTATATATATTTAAACAACTTCATCTACTTGGTGTTAAATTATAATAAACATACTTTTGAAACTTATTCTGTGTTACTTACCGATAGGTTTATATAGTTCCTGGTTTTTTTATAAATGTTATGTGAATGTTCTTTTGTTTGATTTTTACTATTATCATGGTGTCCTTCAAACCATTGTGTTTTTGTTATAAATGCTTTTGATTTAAATTAGATGTTTGTGTTATTGAAAGCATAACTTATGCAATAAGCCGGAAGATATTTGTCAACTAGAAGACATTTCGAAATGTGATCCAAACCATTGCATGTGACCTTACAAAATAACTTTTTAAAAATCTTATCTTAAAGACAATCAATTTTAGATAAGGAAATTTTACTTAACTCTTAAAATAAGACAAAACAGAACTTTTTAAGGTCACGCTTAATTAATCGTATCGATGCTTTCTTGAAATTTGACTCCAACTTTAAGTATATCAATTCTAGCTATAGAAAACATCATGTGATTTTGCAACTTAATCTCTCTATACAGATATAAGAAGATGTGGTATGAGTGCCAATGAGACAACTCTCCATCCAAGTCAAAATTTATAAAAGTAAACCATTATAGGTCAAAGCACGGTCTTCAACACGGGCCTTAGCTCACACCGAACAGAAAGCTATAAAGGGCCCCAAAAATTACTAGTGTAAAACCATTCAAACGGGAAAACCAACGGTCTAATCTATATAAAAAACGAGAAACACTTATGAACCACATCAACAAACGACAACTACTGAACATCAGATTCCTGACTTAGGACACTATACTCTGCTTATTCAAATAGAAAAATTAGAATATGTGTTATGATTGCCAATGAGATAACTATTTACTGAGAGTCAAAATAACGTGCATGTAAGCAACGTTAGGTCACCACACGGCATTCAACAATGAGCAAAACTCTTACTGTATAGTTAGCTTTAAAAGATCCCGACGTTAAAATGTAAAACATTTCAAACGAGAAACCTAGTCTACATATGAATTAGGAAGAACGACTGATATCGACTCTGAATAAGTTGTACTGTCAATTTTACGAACTGGTTGACCAATTAAAATATTAGGCTTATAAGTTTGTATGCTAGACGCGTTTCGTCTACATAAGACTCATCACTGGCACTCTTTTCAAAACATTTGTAAAGCCAAATGTTATATTTGGAAGTTGAAGAGCATTAATAAACGAAGTATTGTGCCAAAAATGGCTTAGTTAATCTATACCTGAGGGTAGATCAAATATGAGCGTTTTTGATATTTTGATATTTGATAAATAGTAAATTTACAGAAAATAAACATATTAATGATATAAAAAAGGGAGATGTGGTATGTTTGCCAATAAGACAACTATCCACCAAAAGTTCAAATGAAGTGGATGTAAGCAATTAGAGGCAACCGTACGGCCTTTAATAATGAGAAAACCCCTTACCGTGTAATCGGTTATAAAAAGCCCCGAATGACAAATATAAAACATTTCAATAGAGAAAGCTAATGGCCTAATTTATAACAAAACAATTGACCTTAAACAACCAGACATGAACTAACGACAACCACTGAACTACAAGCTCCTGATCTAATGATACCCTTGAGAACGAAACGTCCAATGACACTGGATTCAACCCAGTGGTTGTAAAAACTCATCAAAGATGATACCAGGCGTCTAAAAATTGGTACGCCAGACGCGCATCTCTTCTACATAAAACTCATTAGTAGCGCTGGAATCTTAACAACTCCAAAGCCAAATCAAATATTACCAAGTTGAAGAACCGAAAAATAAGAAATATTGTGCCAAATACAACAAATTTTGTATTTAAAGAAAATTACCCGATTCCCAGTGATTTGGAATCGTTGTGGCTGTGAAACAATCCTTATAAAACGATAATAATGCTTGAGATTAGCTGACTAAGACATATGTTCATTTAACGGTATAAATGTTAATGCGCCAATATGCGCACTTTGCCATATAAAGTCTCTTCAGTGATCCTCAATGCAAAAATATTAAACACCAACAATTAATCGAATCGTTGCTGAGCTGATATAATCGAAAATGACAACAAAGGAAAGATTAAACTAGGCAAGGAATCAATAAGCATATGGGAGATACATTCCGTAATTTTGCTATAGCAAATTACAATAAAACAATGGTAGAAGTCTTATTTTCATGCTAATTCGAAACACAGCTTCATAGATTGAATTACCCTCGGGTCCTAAAAGAAGAATAATCTATAGACATAGATTTTTGAAGAAGTTGAATTTATATTTATGTTTCGTTGTTGATCAAACTGTTTGGTTTCATCCTTATCACATTTGGAGGCTAACTTAAATGTTATAAAGATACAAATTTTTTATAACAAAATTTAATTCACTGAACCACTATTTCAAACGGTAAAATTTTATACACATGATGTTTTTTTGAAATATTATGCTTATTGTTGAATACAATTTGAAGAACTCGGACTATTGATTTGGACCTAATCAAAAAACCAAACCATCGAACGGTTTAGCCAATACTTTACTTTTGGCAATACACTTGCATGTACGTCAAGACAGGATATTCGAAAGCATAAACATATTGATTTTGTCGTACAAGATATCGCATTAAGTGTGTTAAGGGGGGAAAAATCACGAATGAGACAAACCAGAAGAAATTTGGACATCCAAACACATGTCAACACTATCAACTAATGCTACTAAAATACTAAGATATGTTTAAGGCCTGTTAAATTTCTTTTTAAGACAGACCGGAACATGTTAATATAAATGCTTTACTACCATAATTGCAATGAATGAGATAATAAAACAAACACATATTGTTCTAAGTGTCTATTTAAATAATCATTTGTAAAACAAAATCTAATGCTAAATTGTATTGCTTATGAAACGGTCCAGTATTTATTTTTTACGTAACTATAATTGCATGCTATCAATTTACAAACCAAATCGTGCTATAAGAAAAGAATATCAATTTTAGAAAAACATCTGTTACCATCATTAAAATGAAATTTAATCAGATATATAAGAATAAAAACTACTGTTAATATCGACTATCATTTTGGAAATACCCGTACTTTTTAGGACGATATTTGCCATGTATTGTTTGTTTGTACTATTTGGACTAGTTTTGGTTTATTGTCATGCTGGTATGGTAACATTTTTTTCTGTTTTTTTTTTCTACAAATAATATATGAATTGTGTCCACTATTTATATTGAAATATTGCGATTTGTATTAATTTTCTCCTGTGATCATTTCACAATTATTAAATACATATTTACCAGTACATTTTATTTGGTAAAGGATAATTGCTGATCAGTTTAGTTTTCTATGTTTTGTTTTGTGTAATATTAATTTTCTGTTTGTCTTTTTCTTTTTTAGCCATGGCGTTGTCAGTTTATTTTCGATTTATGAGTTTGATTGTCCCTCTGGTATCTTTCGCCCCTCTTTTACAACTCTTATTCTTTTCAGAAATATATAATGTATAAAGATTAGAATTATGAAAAAAAGACATGTCATTGTTCTTGTTTTTAAAGAAAAGATGTCGCAGTAATGTTTTGAATGAAATGTTGATGAAGAATTTAGTGTAATTGGACAGTTAGAAATATATAATAGAAATAATAGGAATTACCAAGTATTTGACGTTTATGTTGATAAATAAAGAGGTTCTTTGGACAAAATGTTGTGTGCATAACATAGAAAAAAGTCAATAGAGGATTAAAATTCATTAGACAGACCTACCTGAAAACCATGTAGCTGGATAAATCAGGACACCTTGTATCAATTCATATCAATTTTATGAAACTCTGATTGGTTAGTCTATCCTTTTTAAACCTTTGCATCTGGGAGTATTTTATTTTTACAGATGGATGCAGTTATCCATACCGACGAGTCGGTAAAGGATCGTGTATCCGGTGATGCTGCTTTTGTAAGTTATTAAAAATATATATATATCATATTGTACACACTCATCAAGTGTTAGGCAAAGAGTCACTGTAGTGACGTCGAAAATGTGAGGAAGACAGGACTGGTGATCTGTAAACGAGGAGTAGCATACTATTACCAGTTAAATTAAACATTTTCTACATAAGTAAATGCCTGTACCAAGTCAGGAATTTGAAAGTTGTTTTCCATTCGTTTGATGTGTTTGAGCTTTTGATTTTGCCATTTGATAAGAGACTTTCCGTTTGTAATATTCCTTGGAGTTCGGTATTTTTGTTATTTTACTTTTTACAAGATATTACGTGATCTCACATTTCACTGAATTGTTTTTAACTAGTTACCCTTTCGTCAGCGTGTATTTAACTAACGAAAGGACTCTCCTATATACCGAATAATATCAAAATTCACCAGCCCAGTAGTCAGCACTTCTGTGTTGACATGAGTTATCATTGATATGGTCATAATTATAAATTAACTGTTTACAAAACTTTGAATTTTTGAAATACTAAGGCTTTTCTACCTCAGAAATAGATTACCTTAGCTGTATTTGGCAAAACTTTTAGGAATTTTTGGTCCTCAATTCTCTTCAACTTCGTACTTTATTTGGCCATTTTAACTTTGTTTGTTTCGAGCGTCACTGGTGAGTCTTTTGTAGACGGAACGCGCGTCTGGCGCAAATACAAAATTTCAATCCTGGTATCTATGATGAGTATATCTACCCCGTTTTTTAATTTTTTGAAAACGAGGTGATTCTTATTAGAACTCAGGAGTAAGTGTGATAAACAATGAACCAATAGAAATGAGAAGATCTGTTTCAAAAATTAATGGATAGTTCAAAACTAAGGTGGCTCTATAAAGTTAAAAATTCTCTTCATAATAATCGTGAGCCTAAATCCATCAATTGGAAATACAACTTCAAAATACTGGTGGATTCAGTCGAGGATTATGCCAGGCAATGGGCTAAACGCGAGAAAGAAGACGTAGATACTCTTTCCGAATGGATTAAGGCTGTGAGGTCGTTGATACAAATCCGAATTAAGAAACTAAATGGGCATATCAATACCCACGCTACATCAATTTTTAAAGACCTAAATGTTGCAAAACACTTGT